CTTTTCAGGAACTTGTGGGTTAGGGAGAATAATTGGAGGAGGTGAAAGAAGTATGATTTCCATGGGACATCATCTTCATTTTAGGAAAACTTGTTTCAAGAGATTTGGGAAGATCATTTTTTGGGAGATATTCAAGATAGTTGATTTAAAGTCCTTAATATAACACCCAATATGAAATATTAAGGCTAGGACCAACACAATACTTTTATAACTTGGAAGAGGGATGCGGTAATCCAAGCTATAAAATATTTGAAGGTAGGTGAATGACGATTCACCAATTTCCACCAAGATAAACGAAATGTATTATTAGGTTTTAATTGGTTTGAAAATCCTAGATTCTTTTGAGATTCATTGAACTGTTCAATGACATGTTTCAATCTCGAGTGTGCCCTTCAGGTTTTGTGACTGGGATGCCGAGGATCACAAAACAAGGTGTGAATAACCATGCAAATATACTTGGTACCCTTAAGTGTTTACCCTTCAATCGATGTGCCGGTTAACCACACACGCTCCATCGATACTATGATAAACATTAAGTTACCCTTTGCCTACCTTGTTAAATACGAGTTAGTGTGCCGGTTAACCACACACGCTCCACTAACCGACTTAAACAAAGTGCAAAGTGTAATTTCATGGGTTAGCACCAAATTCACATTTTCCTAAGTAACTAAGATTGGGAATTTATAAAAGGTTTAGTTACTTAGTATTTATCATTAATACTTTTAATGAAGGGAGATTTCTAGTCCTGTCCTACCCGTTCGGCTAACGACCCTCCACCAGTCAAGGAAGCGGTGGGTGAGAGTGGACACCCATTAAACTGCCATTTTATAGGCAGCAACCTTATACCCCCCTTATAGACCGGCTTCGTGAATGAGGCCTACTAACGGTAAGACTGACTTTCTCTTATACATATATATATATATATATATATAATATATATATATATATATTATTAACTTATAATATTATAAGTATAAGGGTTGAATTTTAACTTTTAAAATTCTAAGGCTTAACTTGGAATTAAAGTATTCATAAGAGAAAACTTTTCAAATTCCAAAACTTGAGGGCAAGTTTTGAAACTATTCAAAACTAATTAATTCCATAACTTATGTGTTTAAAGTAGTTTTAATTAAAAAAAAACTCTTCAAGTTCCATAACTTGAGGACAAGACTCTTCATTTTTGTAACCATTGTCAACTTTTATGAGTTTTATGAAACTTAAATGTGACTTTTCATATAACTTGAGGACAAGTTACAAAAACACATTTTAGAATCAACTCTTAGATTAAAATGGATTGAAAACACATAATCCTTAACTTTTCTATTAATCTAAGCAACTCATAAGAACAAGATAATTCAAATCAAACTTTTCCATGTAATTAGCTTAATCACTAAACTAATACAAAACATGAATCTATTGACAATTATCTTTGAAATTGGATTAGTATGAACATTGCCACATCAAAAACAAGTTTATAAGTTCAAAAACATCTTAGGGTAATGTTTCTAGTCCATTTCTAGCCAAAAAACTCGAAAATATGCTGTATGGGGCTCCTACTCGTCGAGTGTATCACCTACTCGCCGAGTAGGATGATTTTCTTCATGGACCGGCGAGTTCATCAGTGGACTCGGCGAGTCCAATGCCCAATGCCCGAATGCACGAATTTTTTCGACTTTTTCAGCATTTTCAGCAATTTGCATCAAGTATAATTGAAAACAAGCCTAGGCTCTGATACCACTGTTGGGTTTTGAGCATTCTAACACTCATAAGTGTACATGCAACCCTAAATACCTTGGATCTATGTTTTCTCTATTATACATGCAAATATGATTATCCAAGGTATTATCCTAACTAGCATACCAAAACATTGATACTAGGATAATAAAATAGATAGAATACATACCTTGTTGTTGTTGCTTGACTCCATGAAGCTTGAGAGCCTAGTGCCCCAAGTGTGACACCTCAAATGGTTCACACAACATCATGAAACTCTTGGAATAACCATGAGAAGAAGACATACATGTTCAATCGGCTAGCCCTCAAAATATGTATCACTAGTGCCAATTTCTTGAACTAAAGGGGTTCTTATATAGTGTGGCTATTAGGGTTACACCATGTAACTCATGACTTTACCCATTCCTTATGCTCCATGGGTTTTAACCTCCATGGAGTATCCATGGATCACCACATGGGTTAAACCCAACATAAATGAATCTTGGATCATAAGCCCACATATATAAGAATGAATGATTTACACAATCAATCCCCATATATTTAATTAGTCTCTTTTTGATCACTAAATTAAGTCCAAATTAATTCTTGATCAATACTAATTAAATAACATGATTTCATATTAATATATTAGAACTTATAATATATTAATATGTCACAAAATGTCTTTTCCTCATAAATGGTCTATCCAAATGTTCCGATGCCATGCAACCCAAATGGACCATGCCGAGTCGGGTCAAGTACATACCAATTATAGTTATGGACTTAGACACTAATCCAACACCTACATTATGTCTTTGCGATTTATGTTGTATATTATGTTGAGCTTACAGAGTTAGGATTGGAGGATCCACCCGAGTTATGGGACTGGAGGGTCCCACTGAGACACATTGACCGGAGGGTCTTACAGTACCATAGCCTCGAGTGGCTAATGAGCTGGGTGTGTGGTATTTTGGGGAACTCACTAAGCTTCATGCTTACCGTGTTGTGTGTTATGTGTTTCAGGTTTTCTCAGGATCACGGGAAGGCACCGGCTGGATTGTACACACTAGTGATAGAGTTTTGTTTTGAGGATTCTGGGTTTTAATCAACAATTATGGAGTCGCAATTTGTAAATTAAATAAACGAGATTTTTGTGAAATGTGGTATGATATTTTTATGGTTTTAAAATGAAAAAATTATTCAAAAATTTACGGTGTTACAAATTAGCTTAATTGTTGTTCCCTGTGTTCGATACCCTGCTTGCCAAACTATACCACCAATCGACAGGTACACTGCCTTTTGTGTGTCTAATTTATATTAAAAAGTAGGATTAAGACTAGTGCATTCCACACACATCACTTATCTTATGACACGTAACTGACTGGGTCAGAGTTCAACAACAACTTTTGGAAGCTACAAATTGTTGATCAGTTTGGAAGTTATACTAGCAATTATAGTTACAAACTTATCCAAGTGGGAGACTATTGGATTGGGTGTCTAAGCCCATAACTATAATTGATATTATACTTGAATTGAGAGTAGCACAATCCTTTTGGGTTGCCCTCAAACCTGTCAATTGAATAGGATAACTTTTAGAAAGAGAGAGACTGATTTATTAATTTATTATATGGTTAATAAATTAATTGGAAATCAAAATAAATAGTTTGTTAATATATTATGAGTATAATATAGATATTATTAATTAATTAATCATTAATCAGAAATTAATTGGATTAATTAAAAGTGCAGGGTCTGATTGATTATTTATTGAAAGTTGAGGAAAGGAGCCCATGGACCTCACTGGATGAGGTGGACGAAAAATCACTTGGGCAAACCCAAGGAATTTCGTCCAAGCCCATTGATAGAGGGGAATGGGCTGCTTGGTCACCAAACAAAGAGATTAGGGTTTCCTCTTTAAACTCTAGCTTTGGCACAAAACTACCTTAACTATATAAAAAAGACCCTTAGCCTTAGAATTTCGGCCATGACATTCCTTTAGAGGCTTAGGGCCGAAATTCCTACTCTTTTCCTCTCCCTCTTCAAGCTCCTTGTTGCTAGGGTTTATGTGTGAACCATTAGAGGTGCGACACTTGTGGTGCTTGCTTCCAGGAGTTTTTCAAGAAGGAATTCAAGATTGTTTGCAATAACAATCTTCAAGGTAAGTTTCTTATTCTTATGAATTAGTTTTTCATAGGAAAAGTTTTGTATGATAACAATTCATAGTATGTTGCTTATATGTGAAAGACATAGATCCTATCAGGTTGCATGTGCCCTAATCATTTGAATTGTTTAAATGTTTTCCGCTTAGTGCATTGTAATTGTAACCCTAATAACCCGTCATGTTTATCATCAGGTAAATGTATAGATATATGGTCACTTATGTGACTAGCTAGAAAATGTGAACTGTGAAGTATGAGAATTGTTGTATGAATGTATTATATGTTATGTTATATTATAACTCACCATACTTATTGTGTGATAAATATTGTTTCCATGTGTTTACAGGTTCAAGTAGCAATCTATAGAGTGTGAGGGCTTAGAAGCATCAAGGACATCAAACTAGACTTTCTGTATCATGTTTTATCCTTGTCGCTTTAATTATGGTTATGATATGAACTGGTAACACCCGTTCATGTTTCTAGGAATACTTTTAAAGATTTTTGAAACTCTGGTTTTTGTGATGACATGTAATTTATGATATTTTCCCAGAATTTAAAATTTTTAATGTTTATGAAAAATACGGGTTTAACATTTAGGCCACCAGAACCCTTGATATATCCATTTTCAGATTTGGTAGGGAGAGAGAGACATGTCCGTTTGAATTTTTAGATCCGTTTCCAGATTTGCCAACAACGCACAACGACGGTGCTAATGCGGAGGTGGTTGACTATGGGCACTGAGGGTTTATGCTTTGTCGAAACCGTCTTTTCTGCTGGTGCTTCCATTTAGACGTGTGTTTTGTATGTGTTTTTAGATTATGCAGATATGTTTCTTCGACTTTTATGTTCGACAGAGCCAGTAAGTGGCAGCGACATCGTACGACAAAGACAACTAAAAATGGGCTTGCTGAAGGAGATGATGATGTTTAGAGAGAGGTGAGAGGCTTTCAAAAATTTCAAGGACCACAACCAAAAAAAAAAAAGAATCCCATTTTGGACAAGTTGTGAGTGTCGGAAAAAAAAGTGGACCAAAACTGTGCGTATGTAAACCACAGGGACAAAATTCAAACTGTTACTCTGTTTTCTTTGTGTTTTCTACCCTTCATCTTCGTTTTCTTTTAAAATTCAATCAAACAAGAATTAGGGCTTTATAAACTTTGGAGGTTTTCTTGCTTCAAACAGATTTTCATTGTTGATTTGGATTTCAGGAGCCACACTGAATGATGAGGGGTTTGCAGAGATTGGTAGCAGGACATCGAGCCCATATTGGCCGAAGGTTGGAACCCTACATTGATAACGCTGCTGCACGGCATACCTCTCGCCGTCTATTTATTGTTTCTTCTTCGAACAATGTTTCTTTTCGTGTTACATCGTCGATTTCTAGACCTGTTGTTCTCCCCGCGCCTGCCTCATCTGGATTAGGCAATTTTGTAGGTTAGTTGGTTCGAATTTACAACTATAATGAACTACATGTGAATGACATCTCTTATCTGTTAATGTTTAAACTGATTCGTTTGATCTTATTCTCTCCGCGAAGGTTTCGCTTAGATTATTTTGTATGATCTTAATTCTTTTTGTTGTTTGGTAAATATGAGAAAGCTAGGTTAGACTTGAAAAATGAAGTTCAATGCAGCTGTCCTACCCCAAAATAATTGAGGTTTTTCTCAGGAAGTAAAAGATTAAGGAGATTTCTTTTATCACTGGTGTTGTAAAATGTAAATTACTTCGCTGATAACTTGTCCAAGCAAAGGAACTAGTTTTCTTCAGTGTTATCTTTTAGTTTTTGAACACTGTTTGTTTTTTAATCATGGTCATTTACATAAATTCCATTTGGAAATCTGAGTCAACATTGTGATTTTTCCCACTTCATTCTTATCATTTCATTACTTCGGTCCCTAACCCCTTCTAAATCGCTTACACTTGCAATATAGTGCTTAAACACTATTAATATCACATTAATAAAATCAGCTTATTGGTTTAACTATCAATTTTCCACTCATAATTAGAGTTGCAGCAAGATCTTTTCATGAGTTTAATATTTGTATCATCTACTCGAAGATAACCCTTTTCTAAGAACCCAAAAGCATGAATCTCAAAGGTACATCCATAATATGTAGAATTTATACTTGGTTGCAACATTACGGAAACCCTTGTTAACCACTAATTCATCCAATCCCATATAACACATTCCAGCAACATATATCCATTTTTAGATACCAAGCATGGATATATCCAAAGATACCAAGCATTTATATGATTTGTGACTGCGATAACTGCTTAGATACCTAACATGGATATATCTAAACTCTAAAGAGTTGGTATGTTCCCTACATAAAAAAAAATGTAGATACCTTTCGTTTCTTATATAGGTAACATAATTGCGAAAACTACATACACATCCTTAATCTTTGATTCATCTGTTAATTTCGATTGTTCATCAAGAGTTTGAGCAAGAAAAAACTTAAAAAAAAAAGAAATGTAGTTGTTACAAGATAAGTTAATAATATACTCGCTTGAGGTTTCTTTCAAAATTATTTGCTATGGAATCTGTATTATGCAATGCAGTGATATTTTGGTTTTGGTATGTTAAAAATATATGCATTTCCAGTCTTTCAAATGGGTGTGTTGTGACATTAATTTGGACAGGGCAGAAGAGGAGTATGTTTATTCAAACACAATCTACTCCTAATCCTTTATCATTGATGTTTTATCCTGGGAAACCAGTCATGGAAGTTGGAAGTGCAGACTTCCCAAATGCCCGCACTGCTATGAATTCACCACTGGCAAAGGCCCTCTATGGAATTGATGGTCAGCTTTTCTTCTCTTCTCTTCTCTTATGTTATGTTATGTTATGTTGTTGCTTACTGATCTCGAGTGGTAATTATCAAATATGGTTGAACTGAGTACATGCTCTTATATGTTGGTGCAGGGGTTACTCGTGTTTTCTTTGGTTCAGATTTTGTGACTGTAACCAAGTCAGAAGATGCTACCTGGGATTTTCTAAAACCCGAAATATTTGCAGCAATTATGGACTTCTATTCATCTGGGAACCCACTGTTTCTGGACTCAACTACTGCAGCTTCTATGGATACAGCTATTCATGAAGTATGTTAAACTTCCTCTCTTTTCCAATCCTACATGATTACATCCAGTTATTCTAACAAACAATAGGAATAGTATTAGTAATAATCACCTTAGGATATGATAGAGAATGTGATAAAGAATGGGTCTTATATAAAACAGGGGGAAAATTGGAGGGACCAAATTGAAATATTTATTATTTTTTGTTTTGCTCCCGATCTGAAATCATCCCTAGGCTAGTATAAATAACTGTAATATTCGGGCTATTGAATTATTTAGTCTTTTGCATTTCGAGTCTACGATGTTAGCTTGGGCAGGGGGTTGTCTCTTTGGAGAGCCTCACTGATTAGGGCAGGAAGGATAACCATTTAGGTTTCATTCTATGATTATCATATTGTATCTGCATCTTCACTTTAAGCTTCTTTTCCCCCCTTTACCCTCTCTTTTGATTATCTTTGTTTGTTTCCTGGTTATTGTTTCTATCAATACGGCTTGAAGCTAGGTGGATTCCCATGAGGAGAAGCGTAAGTCCTTGTCAGGACAACTTAGGGAATTAACATCTTTAGTGAACTCCATGAAGAAGGTAGTGAATAAGTTTCCCATATATCTGGAGAAAAGGATGCTCATATTTTAGAAGCAAGGAGGGAAACCATATGTACTTGCCACCGAAGTAGAAACACAACCCTTTAGAGGAGCCACCATCACTGATGACTTCACTCCTAATGAAGCACCTCTCCAAGCGCCGACCCTAGAGATTGGATTACCGATTGGATTGTCGAACTCTACTTCCATGAATTAGATTTTGAGGATTACATTAAGAAATTCAAGGCTCTATCAGACTTGATTCCAAATCAATCCTTAGAGATGTTTTTACGTAGTCTACAACCGGGCGTGGAGAAATCGGTATGTACACTTCGTACGCTGACATGTGACCGAACCATGGATTTGGCTCGCCATGTCGCCACCAGAACATCATTTTCCACTTATTGTTTAGGTAAAAAAGCTAAGACGAAGGGGTCAAGCGATGTTTGGGGTCCGCTTCCAACTGTTCCCGGAAACCTAGCCCAAAAGGGATGGACCAGCCCATTGATAAGCTCAACCATACCAACAAATACCAGAACCGACCCAATTTCCATTTTGGTCATACTGCAGTCAAGACGTATGATACGAACTAATCTATTCACTCGCTAGTTCAATCATCGAGATTCTTTCGTGGTTGAGATTGCCGAGTAGGAGGAGTTACACGCTAGATTAAATGAGGGATCATCCAGGATTGTTCCAGGAACATGTGGATTGTTCAGTGAAGAAACTACTACCCTCTATCGAGATTGGTAAGTCGGTGTTTTTTAGGGGAGTGAAATCAATGTTGAATATCACTAATCGAAGCAAGATACATAGTTAATTCTTTTTCCATACAAATGTATGCATGTTTTTTTGGGATTAATGCCTCCTAATTCTCCGGATCACAATATAGCTTTAACGCCTTGTTCTTCCACTGGCACTGCTAAATGGAGTTGTATACTAGTCAATGTTTATCAGTGTTATCTCATAGTGCAATCTAGAAGGCAACAAAAACCCGAGCCTGCTTGTGAAGAAAACGAGTATTTGTTAGTTATTAACCCCGTCCAACTATAAGAAATCCCTAAACATTTAGATTTCAAGCTCCATTCCTGCCGGAGAAATGGCATTGTTTGATGCAAAACTATATGTTATGAAGTTTAAGTTTAACAAGGATCAAATGACTCAATTATTGTCTGTCGTCTGTGGATTCAAGCCAATCTTCCTATAACACTCTTCCCTATATCAAAGATTTAGCTTATTCCTTTGACGACACAGGGTAGACAAAGCCTATATTCATTGGAAGCCATGCATTTGGTGATCAATACAAAACTACTAATGCAGTGATTAAAGCTTCTTGGAAATCGAAGTTTTGTGTTTGTTCATGAAGGATAAGGTGAAAAGATAAACTTGGAGGCTTACAATTTCATTGGTGCTGGAGGGGCAGCTTTGTCAATATACAACACCGATGAGTCCATTGCTGCTTTTGCTTAAACCTCATTAACACAACTAATAAAAAAATGATCAGTTTATCTTAGCACCAAGAATACCACCCTCAGTTTGATGGAAGATTCAATAACATGTTTCAAGAGGTTTACGAAAATAACTAGAAGTCAAAGTTTGAGGCTGCTTATATATGGTATGAACATCATCTTATTGATGTCATGGTTGCCTATGCTCTCAAGAGTGATGGAAGGTATGTATGGGCATGCAAAAATTATGATGGTGATGTTTAACTTGATTTCTTAGCTCAAGGTTTCAGATCTCTCTTGGATTGATGATATCATTTTTGGAGTGTCCTAATGGAAAGACCATTGAAGCTGAAGTAACCCATGGTACCGTGACACGTCATTACAAGGTGCACAAAAAGGGAGGGGAAACCAGCACAATTAGCATAGCCTCGATCTTTGTATGGACTATGGGCTAGCGCACTAGGCAAAATTGGATAACAGTTCTAAGCTTCTTGATTTCAATGAAAAACTTGAGGTAACATGCATTGGCATTGTTGAATCTGGGAAGATGACAAAGGATCTTGGAACTCTCACGATTTGGACTGTTTTACAAACTCTAGGCTTGAGGACAAGCCTCTATTTCAAAACGATGGTATTGATAGAGAATGTGATGAATGGGTCGTATATAAAACAAGGGAAAAAATGGAGGGACCCAAATGAAATATTTATTATTTTTTGTTTTGCGCCTAATCTAAAATCATCTTACGATTATCGAATCATTCAGTCTTTTGCATTTTGAGTCAGTCTGTTGCAAGTTTACGGTGTTAGCTTGGACAGGTGGTTGTCTCTTTGGAGAGCATCTCTGACACAGGAAAGATACCCATTTGGGTTTCCTTCTCTGATGATCATGCATCTTCACTTTACTGAAATTCAAGCTTCTTTTCCCCTTTTAACCTCTCTTGATTATATTGTTTGTTTTATGTTTATTGTTCCCTCTAGTATGTTTGTTTTATTGTGTCATTGTAAAGTGTCCTCACATGCATCATTAATCAGAGTTAAGAGTACATACAAAAGTTTTATGGAAAATCTATTTTTTTGTAGGTCCTTATTGATGTTAAATTGTATATTCTCTAGGTTTTTGTGTTGCTAGCCATCTGATCTTATTCTTATAGTCATTTGCTTTCATAATTGGCGGCTATTTATACGGATATCCACTTATTAGTATTTGTTGAACTATTCTCATACCCTTTAAACCTTTATCATTGATCTTTGGAACCACTAACATCGCCTTCCTAAGATGAAAAAGGGTCTGCAATCCTGTTGTAAATTATGCCAAAGGTGGGATTGCATAACCAAGTTCTATTTCTATCATAGGGAGTGGTTGTTTAGAAGCTTCCATCATCTCATCACTTGTAACCATTTGTATCAACACTCTCATGTCTAGCTATTCCTTGCACACATTGAAACCTTAGATTCAACAAATAACACAAGAACATAAAAGTAATAAGGCAATAAGGATTTAAGAAGGTATCCGACTTTTTCTCATATGATTCATGAACAATAAAAGAAACAAGATAGAAAGCTCTCTAGCTATTCGAGGTGCTAAAACATGCCTTCCTGCTACTTCCAATATTAATAGCAGCACAACAACCGACTACTAAAAAGTATGATGCCAACTTTACCCTTTACTGACTAGGGCATTATTTCTTTTTGAGCTGGATTTCCTGATTTTCCCCTCCTGGCATAAGTGTAGTGAATTGGAGGTTTAGCATTACCCCACCCTACAAATCCACCTTGTTCTCAAGGTGGAAAACCAGGAACAACTTGTTAATGTTGTGAAAATCCTCTCATGTAGCTTGTTTCTGTGGTAGGTTCTTTCACTTAGGTGCTGTTTGTTTTTTCTAAAAAAGCACTTCTGATCACTTATTGCTGCACTGCGCAGCACACGCGCAACACTTGACCATTCGCAGCCGTTTGTTTTTCAGAAGACTTCTAACTTAAAAACTGTTGTGCGTGTGCTGCGTGGCTCAACACTAGACAATCTGCTTCAAATCTCTTCACACCTTACTTTAACTTATTGCAGCAGTCTGCAGACGTTAAAAAACAAATAAACTTTTTATTACATGCTGCAGCCGTTTGGTCCACCTCTTCTGCTACGTATTAGTCTGCTGTCTTAACATGCAGAAATTTTATTAGACTGCTAGCTTTACCAGCGGTAGGAGACAGAGGGTTGCAGAGGTGGTCCGCAGACTTCAGACATTTTCGCTTCGTAAAAACAAACAACACCTTAATCAACACTTCTTTTTCTTGATTCCTGGATCGAACTCCTAGCAACTGTTCTGTTGTTCTGGTTCTAGTCTGTTCTCCATTTCTTCACTCAACACATCCGTATGTCTTTTTTTCGCTCTCATTATAACATTATCTCTTAAAAGTTTCTTTGTGTGTTCCATCTCTAGATTCACCATTGGAACACATTCTTCATGATAGCTAGGCGGTTTCATACCGCAACCATGTAGAGCCATCGCGCGCTTCTAGTGCAGGGCCAAACTTTCATACTTCACAACATTGAAGGGAAGACCCACATCATACATCCAACGGGCAATCTTTTGGGTCACTCTAAGTCTTAAATCTTTTTGGACTTCACTATGTTTGGAGGTTCCAACCGAGTGCCTGTTTTTCTTCCCTGCTAGGCTAAATGGATTGAATATTATATCCAAAGGCCCTTTTACCTTTTTACTATTCACGGTTGAGCCGTCGGACGAAGCGGGCCTCTTGCCTTTCGATTGAAACCCACTACTATTAGTAGGCTGTAGGCATTTCCTTATCGCTTTTCTCTAAGTCGACTACATCATCAAAGTGAGGTACACTATGGATCACATCTCCCATTAACTCATTCTTTTCAAAACTTTCTTCAAATAGTTTTTTTGACATCGCTTGGTACCTTGCCACATTTTGATACGTCGGTGGAATCACAAGCAAGGTGATGCTTGTGTCTTGTAATCCCTCCTTTTGAAACAATGAAACAAAAGTTGCATTCCACAGAGTCTTGTTCCTTCAACTAACGTCTCGTAAATCCATTTGGGATTGACTTCTTTTTTACTTGCCATTCTATACTACGTAAAACAAAAACAGAACACGTCGGTTATTTGCGATGGAAATATGGAATATCATCAGTCATTCACTTACAATAGAAAACAGAAAATGGTCTCTGCAATGCAATGGCATATGAATTTATGATGTACATTACATATACAATTATACATGCAATATTACATATATTACATATATACATATACTAATTACACAAAATTACATACATTACAATAAAATACATATACATTACATACACATATATTACATACATATACTCATACTCATGCTCACACATTACATACAGTGAAAATATAAATGGTCCGTGTGATGGAATATAATAATTACAGTAATTAATACATACTACATGTTTATATACATATACACATACACATACATTACATAACAATATATATATATATATATATATATATATATATATATTGCATAAGAGTGAAGAAATTCTGACAGAAAAATTAATATAATCAAAATGTTACCTAAGTTACAGCAATAAAAATAGTAAAATACCCAATTTCCATTGTTGGGTAAAGGGGAGGCTGCTTCCAAAATCTTTTATAGCCGTTATTTCTTCCCAATCTGGCCCGAAAGAGTCCCAACAAAAATATGGTCTGAACGTTGAAAAATAGGCCCGTAAACGATCGTTGATATGGGTTTGGGCCAAGAAAAGCCCATTGAAAGCCCACTTCTTTTTTGCAGCTCTCGCAGGATGGAGGTTATCAAGTCCTCTTCCTGCCGATTCTGCTGAATTTTGTGAGTTGTGGATTGGAATTGGTCTGAATTTTTGAAGGTAGATAGTTTAGGGTTTTGATTTATCTTTGAGTTTGTATGTACATGAGCAATGAATTTGATCCCAAGATGCTTTTTATTTGGATCAGATTCATATCTTTTTCTCATCCATGTTGTTGCCAACAACCATATAGATATAAATGATTATATTGCATCCGTCTGAAATGAAATGTATATCTGTTTTGGTATATCAGGATGACTCGGAAATTGTTGCAATGATTAAAGAACTTTTGGAAACTCGTATACGACCTGCTGTGCAGGACGATGGTGGGGATATCGAATACATAGGATTTGATCCGTGCGTATCACTGACTGACTAGTTCATTATTTATTTATTTATTTAAATTTTAACCTAATCTTCTAATCTAAATTAATTATCAGAGAGACGGGAGTTGTGAAGCTAAAAATGCAAGGAGCATGTAGTGGGTGCCCTAGCTCATCTGTCACCCTCAAATCAGGCATTGAAAATATGCTCATGCATTATGTACCAGAGGTAACAATTATCCATTTCTGCTCTTCATCTGTTGTTGTTGACTTTCCTGACTTTGCTGCTTGCTTTTCCAATTCCAGGTTAAATCTGTCGAGCAAGAACTTGATCCAGAAGAAGATAATAATGGAGAATTAACAGGCCAGCTGGAGTGAGGTTCAGGTAACCAACTGACAACTGTATTTATTTCTTTGTTCTAGAAAGAAAGAAAGGAAACAAAATACTACAACAATGAAGAATCACAAATAAATTGTTAGCAAGTATGTTAATCACGCTGGTTGGTTTTTTTGATTTGTTACAATATAATCATTGCATGTATATGAGTAAGTTCCAACCACATTAAAATTTTTCATATAGACTTTGGGACTATGAAGTTGTTCTCTTGTTTATCCGTGAATAGACTGTTCAACCCACATGACAAAAGTGCCTTAAGGTCCATCCCATTTGTTTTGTTAGTTATGATTTTTTTTGCCCAAAGTTATAGCATGACCAAATTGAAAGTAAACATCCATCAAATTGATTTTACAACTCGAAATAGACATTTAAACAGAAATGTAATTGCTTAAAGACAAACACAGGGTGGGTTCGTTTTATGTTGGTGTGATAATAGTTTTCTATCACATGATGGTAGCAATAACTATGTGCTATAATGTGATAATGTCATTCAAAACACATGACTTTTTTAAAACAAGTTGATCATAAGTTCATAAACATATCATAAACAAATGACATGCGATGTTGAAGTTATGGATTGAGATTTCATAACCGGAGACTATGTGGGCCATGATACTTGATCATAACATCATTAATTGTCGGCTTTGGTTATAAATTTGGCGGTTTGCTGATCCATGATATTAACTTATGTAGTTGTCAAAAACTTAAATTTTGCTATTCATGCCTTGGTAAAGACGTCATTTTGTTTTTGTAAAGCAAAATAGGCTCTTTTGATTTAATCGATGAAAAGCCTTGAAACTATCAAATAAAATCACCTACCAAAAAAAATTGCTACTTCGAAAATGAAAGGACTCCACCCAAACTTGGTGAATTTCATTTAGTTGGGCATATGGAAAAAGTTGTACGGAGAATGATCGAATTTGGTCATGGTTGGCGCTAATGCTAAACTTCCAAAATGTCATAAAGGCACTTCACTTTAATGAATACTTCACAAAGACGTTTTATGTTTGAAAAAAAGATCCTATGCACAATGTGTTTTTCGTGAACTGCAAAATCAATTTATATTAGTACTCGAACATGCAATTGTTTTGAAACAGATACATTCTATTTTGGATAACTCAATTTCATGGTTTAAAAATTAGATGAAAACATCCATAAAAACTATTTGTTACTAATTGTTTTGAAGATCTATTAAGTAATCAAGAAAACTAACTATTATCATTCAATCATTTAAACTTATGAACAAAAACATACGAATGACTTGGAAATTCATATGAAAATTGCATTCAAAGATGAGAAACTAAAAGTAAGTGTTCATAGATTACGCCAATGTTTTTAGCCACTGGTGGCTACGATATAAAAGTGAAATTAATATAAACAAACATCCACAAATCAAACAAGATGAATCAAGCACTTCAAAAGCTTCATGAACCCCAAAAAAATTTCCTCGAAGGAAGGTCTCCGCTCTCCGCTAGTATGTTTGTCGATAAGAAAGATACCCACCTTACACCCCAAAACAGGTGTAATGTTGACTCGGGGTGCATGAGATGGCCTTGTAGCCTTTGACTTGCATGCATACGTCGTTTTTTGCCTTGATCTCCTTGTCTCCTTTGTCTTCTTTATCGAGCTTCCACAAAACCCAAAATTTAACTCTAAAACTCCTCCCAAAATGGGCCAAGCACCTTAGCCCAAATAAATTGTCTAGCTTCCACAAAACCCCAAATCAAGCACCTTAGCCCAAATAAAAACCCAAGTCTTCATCTTCTTTCATCCTTTGTCATCATCATCTCCAAGCCCAAATAAATTGTTGCCAAGCCCTCAAAATTCCTTTAATCTTCGGATTGTCTTCGGTTCCGCTCGAGTTTTCTAAATATATAAAATTATACACAAAAACTCAAAAAAATACTCAATATAAATCTCCATCCGTCCCCTATTAATAGTCCATGTTTCATTTTTGGTTTGTCCCAAAATAATAGTCTACTTCTAAAAATAATATCCATTTTACCAAAATACATCTCATTATTAGTTAACCTACCATGAAATTAAATGCAACAAAAGGATGGAATTAAATGCAACAAAGGGTAGAATTTGTTGGATGAATTAGGGTTTATGTTGGAGATCTGGATACCACTTGGATTGTGTGAACACTTTCCGAACTGATATTTCTACCTTATGCCTAGGTTGCAAGAAATTCAGTCTAGGATTATCCAAGAGGACACTTACGAATCTAGGCATAGAAATCGTAAGCCAAATTGCTAGAAGGATTCTATGTTCGTCTGAAGAAAAAGGGAGCTAATGATTTTCGTGTGTTTCTTCTCAAAGAGAAGAGCCGTTTATACAATAAACGAGATTAGGGTTTGCCTCTTAGGATTGCCTGTCATGGCTTGCTTTGGAAGGAAATCCAGATTTTAATGAGGATTTAGGGTTTCCAAAACTAACGAAATTCGTTAGTTTTATCATAATCACCCTCAAGAATTCGATTTTCCCACTATGTTCCCATATGTAAAATTCGGAGAGTTTTTGGGCGCTGCCCTAAACCCCACCTAGGGGCTCTGCCCCTAGACCCCGCCAAAGGGGCGGGCGCTGCCCCTTTGGAAACCCCGGACCCAAGGGCGCTGCCCCCGGACCACCGACTTGTTGTCGAACCGGCTTCTAATTCGATCTTATGCATGCGTGCACTCCGCACACACCCGTACATATATTAGAGTACAAATTATGAAGCCCCTTAGCTCACATGTTACTTCCAATCACATAAAATGACATGGTGACACTAAAATCACCAACATAATTGTCATTTCATTTAATAAAGTTAGTGGTAATTAATGTTTCATTTAATAAACTTCAGTATTAATAATCACAAGCACAATAGCTAGCTTCTAAGTATGAATAACAATATGATTTCCTTTATCTTCATCCTTTATATCATGAAGTGCATAATCCATCTCAAGCATATTCCCAAAATCTCTCATCTTCCCCACAAGTACTTCCAACTCTTGATAAATTTGTTTTGATTATGGATGAGATTGATCTCCATGAAGAAAGGAACGACTTGATTATTAATCTCCAGATTACAATAGCTAGCTTCTAAGTATGAACAACAATATGATTTCCTTTATCTTCATCCTCTATATCATGAAGTGCATAATCCATCTCAAGCATATTTCCGGAATCTCTCATCTTCCCCACAAGTACTTCCAACTCTTGATAAAATTTATTAGATTATGCATGAGATTGATCTCTATCAAGAAAGGAACGACTTGATTATTAATCTCAAGATTACTAACACCAAGATCTTTCTTGACTCCGTGTGATGTCATGATTGAACGAATAATTGTGACATCTTTAAATCTACCTATTTTTACGTGTATATTTGACAACAAAACATAATACCCTGCTTATTGCACATGTTGTGCAGGGACAGTTCAAAGAGACGATATGTTGCTACAAGATCGATTTCCATGTTGGAATGAACTTTACAAACATTTAACAAAACACATTGTTTTCATTTTTTATATAAAAATCAAAAGCTTTGTTGATTTTTTCCTTATCTTCCTAGCTAATTGATCATGCACGCCAAGTGTTCTAGTCTTGGAATGATGTTATATTCTTCGTTCATCAATTTGAAGAAATGTTTTCCCTAGTTTAACAATCCAACATGGCTGCAGGATGATATGAATGGAACAAAGGAAATGGAATCAGGGGTAAGGTCGAAATCTTGTATATTTGGAACAATAAATCTTGTATATTTGAAACAATATTAGATGTAAGGATGTTAATCAACTTCATAGCATTTATTTTAAAAGTTAAAATATAATTTTGTTACACAAAAATCATGGAATATGCAAAGTTTTGATAGTTACACAAAAGTCACTATATTTTGAATATTTATCAAAAAAGTAATTATATTTTAGTTGTTTTCCTTTTAATTTTGATACTGAGAATGCGATGTCACTAAAGTGACACATCATCATGCAATGTTAGTGCCACGTTACTAAAGAGTAACACGTCAACATGCCATATAAGCGAGTAATTGAGCGTATCGATTAATGTTGGGTGACAACAAAACAAGTTAAGCACTTCAGATAAAATATAAAAAAACAAACTTCAGTGAACTCACAAAAATTCTGAAAAAACGTAAATCAAAAGAACACAATGTTTAACGTGGTTCGGTCAAGATGACCTACGTCCACGGGCGAACGAGAGAGAGAGAGAGAGAGAGAGAGAGAGAGAGAGAGGATTTTATTAACTTTCTGAAACTATTACAAGCACTCAAAATTGTATCTCACTTTGAGCTCTCACATAAATCTATCCATTTACAATGATGGGGGTATGAAAATCTTTATACTTGAGGGATCAGACTTAAAACCCTAATGTGTAACGTCCCAAAAATAAGACCATAAAATTTCATTTTTGATTTAATAAAACAGTGTTCCAAAAACAGCATCCATAAAATTTTAACGAAATAAGTGTGTTAACATCATTTCAAATCAGAGTAATTTATAAAATGCGGAAACATGTGGTGCGTGATCTGCAATCACCCGGAGCTCCCTTGTTTGAAAACCGAAGTACCCAAAACACAAATTGAAAACCGTAAACACAAAGCTTAGTGAGTTCCCCCAACATACCACATACATAACAAACATACTGCCAAGCATATCTGGGTGCTCGACCTACCCTGTCGAGCATATCTGGGTGCTGGCCTCCCCTTCGGTCTATTTCAACCGGATATCGGGTCTATTTAACCCCTTACCACTACCATATAATATCATAATCAAATAATCACAGAAAACTCAACAAATACTAGCATACCAGACAATTATCACAAAGACAATCATCTTTACTATAAACATCAACTAGTGGGTCTGGTGCCTTCGACCCACAGATACATGGAAGGTAACTCACCTCAAAAGAAAGACGAACCCTACAGCTGAATCTGCTGCGAACCGACTCCAAACACTGAACCAAAACCCCAAAACTAAACTCCATCAATACACATCTCTAAACCCAAGCACTAGGCCCACTAATGGCCCAACTAACCAAGCCCACAATTGGCCCAATCAAGGCCCAAATCCATTTGGCCCACTGGTGGTTGTCGAGGCCAACAAAATAAATAATCCTAAATCGTTTACACTAAAATAGTGTATAGTGGTAAAGGGGTCGAATCCGT